TATCTATAGCTGAATAAGTATATGGCTGGGGGTGCAACTGAAAGCAAAGCAGCAGCATGCAAGAATAGGATTCTGAATGCCCCACCACCACTCATACGTCACCCCCCCAAGCCATTTCCCCCAGCCATTTAATTCCCAATGGGGATTGCTTCTGGTTTTGGAGTCCAGCTGTCCCAAAAGCAGCTTGAGAGAGGAGGTTTCTAGAGGAAAAGCATGCATGGAGAACCTGTTTAGCATCCCTTCCCTTTTATAAGAAGAAACAGGGTGTGCTCAGGAGTGCCAGGCCTAATGAGCTCAGCAAGTCTTCTTCGGTAGGTCTTGCCCCTATGGGGCAGTTGCAGATCCCTACATTTCCATAGCTCCCCAAGTCTCTTTCTCTCCAGGGTTTTCCCAAAGCAATCTGAGACTACGCTGGCATGCCTGCATTTGCTCCTCCCACTTCATGCCTCTCCTGGTCCTTGGAGATGGGGATGGGGGTAGCTTGTCACAGCAGCAGGAGGAGACCTCCATGCTTCTCCACCTGCCTGACCTATCTCTGCCTCTTGGCCTCCCTCCTCTCCTTTTCAGCTTTTGATTCTGGTTCTGGAAATCTCTCTGCCACAGATTCTCCCTGCTCACTAAATCCTGTTACCTTCTCCTCCCAGTCGTCTTCCTTTTCTCCCTCTGACCACTCATTGTTCTCCCACCAGCAATCCCTGGGCTCTGAGCCTTCTCCCCTGGGGGCTTCTCCAGCTGGTGCCTCCCCCCCCCCAATTCCTCTGCATCCAGCCAGTCCATGACATTTATCAAAGTAATATGTTAAAGGGCATATTCTATATAAAGTTTTAGTGCATATTCCCATTATGCCCTCCTAGAGTTTAGATTAATTTGCTGTGTTAGAGGTGTGAATATGTCTGTGCTGCATAGCTAAGCATATGCAAGGCCTATAAAATATGAGAAGGACTTGGATCGGCAAATATTTTAAAATGCAAAGAACAACTCTAGGTTTTCATTTATATGTATCTCCCTAAACATGGTCCTTGCTTCTATTTACAGAAATCTAAACAGAAACAAGAGTTTTCATCTGGAAGTAGACTTTGACAACCTCCATCAATCATTTCTCTATGCCAAAACACAAATTCTTTAGTAGGTGGAAGGCTAAGTACTTCTCCTTACATATATGTCAGAAGGAAAAATCAAACGTTTCTCAGAGTAAAATACAAATGAGTTTTGACTGTGATCTATTTAACATGAATAGCAACATCATCAAAGCTTGATGTAGTGGGATAAGACAGGAAAAAGTGAGAACGAAATACATGTTAATATACAGGTGGCATATGAGCAGAGAAAATCACCAGATTCGGAATCCTTAAACACGGAAACAGGTGGCAGTAAGCAAAACTAATATTTCTTTCGATGATGTTTACTTACACCTAAATCACTATAGTACCTACGAAAGTTGGCACCTTTTTCAATCTAGCATGAAAGCTTCTGTGTCTTTAGCATCTGCCTGCCTGGTAGAAATCAAGCAGGTAAATTCTTACCCACCGTTGCAATGCCATTGCAATCAACACCTTTTGATTTTTTTCCTGCTTCTTATGTACTTATTAAAAGCACAGAAACCCAGGCAGGAAAAAAGGACACATTTAGTGTGGCAGCACCTGCCCTTTGGAACTCCCTGCCTCTTGAGATGAAGCAAGAGTCTTCACTGCACTCTTCTTGGTGCCCACTAAAAACATCCTTGTTTAGACAAGCCGACCCAGATGCTTAGAAAGTTGAGGCAATGTTAATCTGTTTTAGTATTTTTATGTTTGCGTGTTTTAAAGCAGGGCTGTTAATTTTTCTTGGTTTTCTTGTTTTATCTTTTTGTAAACCACTTTGAGGGTTTTTTAAACTCAAGCAGTGCATAAATGCTATGAAATGAATAAATGAACGCCCTCCCATCAGATGCCAAGGAAATAAACAACTATCTGACTTTTAGAAGACATCTGAAGGCAACCTTGTATTGGGAATTTTTAAATGTCTAATGTTTTACAATTTTTTATATGCTGTAAGCTTCCCAGAGTGGCTGGGAAAACCCAGCCAGTTGGGCGGAGTATAAATAATAATAATAATAATAATAATAATAATAATAATAATTGCATGTGCCACTCATGCACAGAACATTCCTGTTTGCATGAACATTCCTGTTTGCTACGTCCTCCTTGAATACAGGAGGTGTCCCACTTTAAAAAATTCAGAGGCTGCACTGTTTTTCCAGGGCTGACGAGTATATTTTGCAGAAAAAACTAAAACACACAAACACACAACTGCAAAAAGGTGACATGCTGCCTCTCTAATTAAGCTATATTCTGTGCACCAAAGCTACTGTTAACATCTTCTGTTACGTGGGGAAGGAGTGCAGGTGAACCAGTGTGAAATATTACTTTTTATTTCCTTTTTCCGGTTATTTATTTGCTTGTTTTAGCCCCATGGAACACCAGTATTACTGGGTCCTGTCCCCAGATAACAGAAGGGACCAGCAGATCTCAAAGTAATAATTTTTCAACAAACCTTTTTGATTTAATTGCTGCTGCAGCTTGAGGTGTGGAAGAGACTCTACCACAAGATGGGCATATAATTTCCTGGAAAGCAAGACCACCAGTTTGAAAAAGGCCATAATGAAGGACTGTCCTGCTTCAAAAGGAGGCATTAATCCATATTCTGCAGGGGTTAGTTCCAAAGGGCTTAATAACACAAAAGTAAAAACAATACTTACCCAATAATTCAATTACATATTTTTTCCGTTCTTTATTTATTAACTGGCTGAATAAGGCTGTGGTTCTAGGAACTCAGCAAGCAAGACCAATGTCTGAGTAAACATACATTATTCTTGCTCTTACGGCTGTTTTTATTATTAATAATATTAGCTTGATGTTTTGTTTTTGTTTACTGTAATTTAAAATTTTAGAACAAGAGGGAGAGAGAACTGGGCTGCACAGGCAGTCCCTCTTTTATCAGGGTTTTTATTAGAAACTTTACCTGCAAATCCTACATACAGTGAGATTAAGATCTAATCAGGCACTTATTAACGACAGCAAGACTATCACTAAACACTAGAGGAACACAAGTGGAACTGCTCTTTTATACAAGTACCGCAAAGTGTGGTATATCACATTCATAGAGAAGCTAACCCCCAAATTAAGAGTTATGGTACTTTTACAGACAACTTTGCTTCAACTTGGAGCTCTTTTAGGAGTTAAATAATAATAAGAATCCTCATACGATGTGAGCATTTGGAATACTTATTTATCTTGTTTGTCCCCCACTTGTGTTTTTTTGTGTATGTGTGAAATATTTTTTATTGGTTTTACAAACACAAACCGTAAAGAAACAAAGCGATACTTACATAACTAAATAAAGAGATTCTTCAAAACTTGGGACTTCCTCCCCCCCCCCCCATGGAATCTCAATTTAAACATCTACAACTGCATATTCATCTGTACTCCAGATTTTATATCAAACCATATTGCCCATTATAATTTTTACACTACAAATGAATCAAAATCCTTCTCTTGTTTCCATCTGCTTACAGTGGTCACTTTGTTGTTGTTTAATTGTTTAGTCATGTCCAGCTCTTTGTGACCCCATGGGCCAGAGCACGCCAGGCACTCCTGTCTTCCACTGCCTCCCGCAGTTTGGTCAAACTCATGCTGGTAGCCTCGAGAACACTGTCCAACCATCTTGTCCTCTGTCGTCCTCTTCTCCTTGTGCCCTCCATCTTTCCCAACATCAGGGTCTTTTCCAGGGAGTCTTCTCTTCTCATGAGGTGGCCAAAGTATTGGAGCCTCAGCTTCAGGATCTGTCCTTCCAGTGAGCACTCAGGGCTGATTTCCTTAAGAATGGATAGGTTTAATCTTCTTGCAGTCCATGGGACTCTCAAGAGTCTCCTCCAGCACCATAATTCAAAAGCATCAATTCTTCAGCGATCAGCCTTCTTTATGTTCCAGCTCTCACTTCCATACAACACTATTGGGAAAACCATAGCTTTTACTATACGGACCTTTGTTGGCAAGGTGATGTCTCTGCTTTTTAAGATGCTGTCTAGGTTTGTCATTGCTTTTCTCCCAAGAAGCAGGCGTCTTTTAATTTCATGGCTGCTGTCACCATCTGCAGTGATCATGGAGCCCAAGAAAGTAAAATCTCTCACTGCCTCCATTTCTTCCCCTTCTATTTGCCAGGAGGTGATGGGACCAGTGGCCATGATCTTAGTTTTTTTGATGTTGAGCTTCAGACCATATTTTGCGCTCTCCTCTTTCACCCTCATTAAAAGGTTCTTTAATTCCTCCTCACTTTCCGCCATCAATGTTGTGTCATCTGCATATCTGAGGTTGTTGATATTTCCTCCGGCAATCTTAATTCCAGCTAGGGATTCATCCAACCCAGCCTTTCGCATGATGAATTCTGCATATAAGTTAAATAAGCAGGGAGACAATATACAGCCTTGTCGTACTCCTTTCCCAATTTTGAACCAATCAGTTGTTCCATATCCAGTTCTAACTGTAGCTTCTTGTCCCACGTAGAGATTTCTCAAAAGACAGATGAGGTGATCAGCCACTCCCATTTCTTTAAGAACTTGCCATAGTTTGCTGTGGTCAACACAGTCAAAGGCTTTTGCATTTAAGTGGTCACTTAAATAACTTCTAAAGGATATTTTTCTCCCACTTGAAACAGGGTTCGGCTGAAGGGCTATAAGGGAGGATGCACTTTTGTGTGGATTGCTAACCATAGGATAATTTTATTTGGAGGCGGTGGGGTCCTGCATGTGTGTGCGCAAAGAGTTTATTTGTTCTATCGTTCGTATTGTTGCACTCAACCCACCTTTGCAGTTAACTGCTGCTGACTCAAAAATGACAAATACCTGTACTGCTGGAGACCTTTTTATTTCTGCCCCTAGAGATCATCCTTGAAAATAAATCAACATATATCCATAAAGTGCAACCTTAAAGCCTATTGAATCCAGCAGCGACGCCTCTTGGGCAGCCTGGGATAGCTCAGCGCGCAGAGCACGGGACTTAAAACTCAGGGCCGTGGGTTCAAGTCCCGGTTGGGCAAAAAAGGAGTGTTTCGTTATGCGACAACAGCAGCCAGAATGTTAATAGCAAAATAATGGGAAAATGAGTTAACACCAACGAAAGATGAATGGCAAGTGAAGCTGTGCAAGTACCTTGAACTTGCTAAATTGACGGAATTAATAAGAATTAATAAATAATAAGATAATTAATTAATAATAAATAATAATAATAAATAAGATAATAAATAAGAATCAATTATCACTCAGGTGATAAGATTCAAAAAGAATGGGATTGCTTTAATAATTATCTAACAAAATATGGTTCCATCAACAACACTTGGCTGAGCCTAGACTAACTTCTAGAATGGAATTTAGTTTTTCAACAATGGTATACAGATAAGTTGAATGTCAAAGAAATATGGAAACCGCAGAGATAGAGGGAAGTCAAATAATATAGAAGGGACTTAAACCAGTTTAGAAGAATAGTAAGAATGTGACGGTAAAGAAGAGAGAAAGAGAGAATATGAAGGTAACGTCACTCTAGGAAGTATTTAAATTATGGCTTGTAATCCTTAAATAATTTTGTATATTTCATTAATATTTTTTGTGCTCCCCCCCTTTCAAACCTTTTTATTTTTGTTCTTTTTAATTTCACATTTTGTTTATGTATTGCTTTCTTTTCTGTTAACGTGAGTGGTTTTCTTCTTCTGTCAATTTCAAAGCGCAAGGCGAAGATGCTCTTCCGCCCGGCGGCCGGCGGAGACGGCAGAGACTACATTTCCCAGCCTGCCTTTCGCTCCCGGGCGCTCTCACGTGACCGTCGCCGGCGCCATGGCGGAAGCGGAGCCTCAGGTAGAGAGCTTTGCCCTGCGGGGGCCGAGAGGAGGGGAGCTGAGGGCCTCGGGGACTGAGAGGGGATTTGGGGGGGCTCCCCCTCCGCTTCCCCCAGCCGGGGGCCTGGAGGGAGCCCATTTCCACGCAGCTCTTCCTTTTCAAGGAACCCCCGAAACAACAAATAACTGGAAGAAGGGGGGAGCAGACTGGGGGCACCCCAAGGCAGCCTGAATCCTGCCCAGTTAGAGGAGGGGTGCTGGAGGGAGCAGGAAGGGGGGGTTCAGGAAAGGGACCCCCCATGATGTTGGGGGGCTGGGAGGGAATTGCTTAGGGGTCCTGTTGCTCTTGTCAGTACAGTGGTACCTCGGGTTACATACGCTTCAGGTTACACATTCCACTCACCCAGAAATAGTACCTCAGGTTAAGAACTTTGCTTCAGGATAAGAACAGAAAGCGGGCTCCGGCAGCGTGGCGGCGGCGTGAGGCCCCATTAGCTAAAGTGGTGCTTCAGGTTAAGAACAGTTTCAGGTTAAGAACGGACCTCTGGAACGAATTAAGTACTTAACCAGAGGTACCACTGTACAGTCATACCTCAGCTCACAGCCGCTTCAGGTTGCATTTTTTCGGGTTATGCACCCACCGAAACCTGGAAATACCAGAACGGGTTACTTCCAGGTTTTGGCTGTTGCGCAGAAGCGCTAAATCGCGCTTTGTGCATGCGCAGAAGCACCGAATCGCAACCCGCGCGTGCGCAGATGCGCTGCTGTGGGTTGTGAACGTGCCTCCCGCACAGATCACGTTCGCAACCCGAAATCAGTGGGAATGACTTCCAAATAAATTGGAATAAGCAGGGCTTTTTTTTCTAAAGAAAATGTTTTTAGGGGTTCTCTCATTTTCCTACTCACATTGAAATATTGCCCCTCAATGAGACCAAACTTAGATTCACAAAATGTTTAAGGGGTATGTGTCCCCCCTGGAAAAAAGCACTGGGAATAAGATTGTGCAACACATGTGCTTAGTATCAGGGAAACAGATGGCTACATACAAAAATGTCACTTCGTTTGGTTTGTCTTTATTAACAAAATTTATATGTTTCCTGATTGCAAATAGCATGTCTAAGCAGTTAACAAATTTTATATTAGTATATTCATTTCCTTGGCAACTGTGATGTTTTAAAAACCTTTGGAATCTTTATTTTCCAAATATTAAAGTATACATAACAGCTAGCATTTTATTTACAGTTTTAATTTAATATTAATAATATATGATTAGGACTTGGACTACAGTCATATGAACACTTTGCTATGAGTAAACCCCACAAAGCACAGTATGACTTAAAAAGGTAAAGGACCCCTGACAGTTAAGTCCAGTCATGCATGACTCTGGGGTTGCGGCGCTCATCTTGCTTTACTGGCTGAGGGAGCCGATGTTTGTCCACAGACAGTTTTTTCGGGTCATGAGACCAGCATGACTAAGCCGCTTCTGGGGAAATCAGAGCAGCTCACGGAAACGCCGTTTACCTTCTGGAGCAGTACCTATTTATCTACTTGCACTTTGACGTGCTTTCAAACTGCTAGGTGGGCAGGAGCTGGGACCGTACAACGGGAGCTCACCCCATCACGGGGATTTGAACCGCCGATCTTCCGATTGGCAAGCCCAAGGCTCAGTGGCTTAGACCACAGCGCCACCCGCGTCCCTTACAGTATGACTTGCGTTTGAGTAAATTGACTTCCACTGTTAGTCTTTAAAAGCTATAATGTGCACATTGGTTTCTGAAGCCATCTTTAAACAGTATATATCGTTCACAATGTGATTTGCAACCGATCCACACTGCGGTATAGGAAACAGTTAACTTGTTTAGTAGAGGTTCTCTATAGCATCACTAAGATTTAGAAACCTTTGATCTGATTTCAGAAAGGCATTTTAAAGAAATTGCCTTGACAAGGTAAAATGGGAGGGCAAGTAAATTTCAAATGAGCAGCTACACTTCCTAGTTATACTAGTCCTAAATTCCTTGGTTAAATTTCCACTTTAGCCTTGAAACTCATTAGTTGACCTGGAGACAATCTTGTCAATTAATCCAGAGTTATATTTAAGCCTGGTAGTCACAGCCAAGAAGGATGCAGGCAGGTGAGTGAGTGGTCTGGTAGGCGAGTGCTCCATCCGTCCTCTGCAGCCAGCACAGAAATGCATCAAAATGCTCCAGGAGGACTGGAGCTTGCCATTCCTCTTCTGCCAGCCCACAGCAGGCTAGTAAATGTATTTGAAAGCGAGGAACTTTTGTGGACTCACTACTTTTATATATCAGATAGCTAAACAATGGAATTTGCTGTCATAAGACTTTTTGATGGCTACCCACTTAGATGGCTCCAGAAGGGGATTAGACAAATTCATGGACAATCAGGCTGCCAATATCTGCTAGTCACTAGGCCACATATTATTTCCAGGATTAGAGGGTGCATGTCTGTCCGCAGGGGAAGAATAGGTGGGGAAGAATAGAGCAAGGACTTATTGTCCTACCTTAAAACATGTATTCATGTTTCACTGTAAGCTACTACGTATGGAAGTTCTTTTTTAGGGTGAAAAAGCAGGCTGTAAATGATTTTATAAGGAAACAAAAAAAAATGTTTACGTGCTGTTCTATCCTTAATTATGGCAATTAGAATATTAGCCTGCAGATTTACAGTTGAATTCTTTTTTTAAAGATTCATGTAGATGATCATCTCTCATTTCATTTGATGAACATTCTTGCATGTGTGTGCACACATATTTACAAGTAACAGGCATGGTACTGCTTCCGCAAATGCTTGAGTGCTTGGCTTTAAGAGACAGCACCTAAATCTTGGTGGTTTCATTTTTTATTTTGCATAAAAAGCAGATGTTTAATTTATATAACTATATGAAACCTGATGTGTGTAACCATATTGTTTGCTTTTTAAAATGCTGTCCTGCATACTTAATTGCTTGCAAGAACAACAATGGTGTGAGGAGGTTTATATCTACAGGAGTTCTTCTCTGGAGAATTGTTCTGTCTCTAGAGAATTCAGGTCCATCTAGATTCTTTTTTTGGTAGTCAGGAAAGAGAATCAATATATGCTAATGCTGACGGACTCTCTATGTTTTTAGGCCAGTTTTTCAAAATCCCAGTAGGAAAGGTTTAAGGTAGGATTTTTGGAATCTGGGAGCTGGATGTAATATTGAGACAGAGTGACAGGTGTCACAGTTGACTGCTGCTTGCTGTCTGCCATGGTTCACAAGAGGATCAAAGGCAGAGCAGTGGGAGGAAAAGAAGTTTATCTTTGACTGGGAGAGGAATATTATACTGGAAGACAGACAAAGCAAGACGCTGGGCCATTTGGGGGGGAAAACCCCTCTGGATTATTTCTTTTGTTTTGTTCATTTGTTAATAATGTGACTTACTAGATTTATATGCGTACACACACAAATGTTTCAGGAAACTATATTATTGCTAGTTCTCAGTAGTATTTTACATTTGTAAATATCAGTCCCTGGAGCTGGCTTTCTGCAAAGCATGGGTTGCAAATCAGGATCCAGCCTCATGAATACATGACCACTCCCTTTCCAGAGTGATTTCTCATCTCTCCTTTGTTTCTTTCCTGGTGCTTAACCATGACATTATGATCACTTCTGAATAGATACAAACCATCATGGTTGCAAGGGACTTTGTTTTGCATAGGTACCTATCAATGGCTAGGAAATGTGTTATGAAGATCTGTAAACCATGGTGTTCAAGGAGCCAGCACTGCCTCTGAACCTGGTTCCAGTGTCAGAATTCGAGATAACTAGGTCCCCCTTGCCTCAGTCAGTACCAGTCTCTTTATGTATGTTTTCTGGTGAGAAAACAGTATGTCACTCAAGTCCAGATACAAAAGACAAATAACAATTATCCCACCAAATAATCAAAATAATCAAAATGCCAACAAGAGAGAAGGGAGCCACACACACACTGAAAGAAACAACTTCACATATATTCTGATGGAGTCTGAACTGGTGGTTATTAACTAGGAAAGGGATCTTGAGATTGTGATGGATAGGGAATAAGATAAATTCCTGGGGCTGGTCAAGATGGCTGCATTACTTCCAGTATCAGAGGTAGGATGACTAATGGCCGGTTGCTGTGTGTCAGGGGCTGGCTGGACGACGAGGAGTGGTGGGTGGGAGGCTCCAGCTGGAGAACCACCTAGG